GTAGTTTATTTAAAATCCCTTTCTCGGCTTTAAATAAGAACATCTAATTCAATCTGATATGCGTCCTAAAATTGAAACAGACAGCAAATCTTTTTAACGAAAATTGCAATTTTTCATTGAACTCAGTCCTGTATTCGTTTAGTACCTTAACCTTTGGAAGTAAACTTTTTTCTTACTATGGCTTGTAACTTAATTCTGACGGAATTCGGTGAAAGAAATAAGAACAAAGTTTTAATCTATGACACTCTCAGTATGGTTGTTAGACTATGCAGTAGACCGGGTCGTTTTTGAAAAAATTTTTTGTATCGCCTGGGCTCATGGCTGAGCTGAAAGTTCAAGGTTTCAGATGAAGAAAGCCGGGCTGCAGAAGTCAAAAAAGTGACCGGAACCGGTGTCGATAGGCTTTTGAAGTTTAAAAACGTGCTTCGGAAATTTAGCAAAATCGCTCTGAAAATGGCAATCATATAATAGATTGCTAACATTGCTCAGAAGGTAAAATTCATGTCGACAAGACGTTTTCTTACGTATTTTTGTGTGTAGAATCGAATTCCGTAGTCAGTTTTGACCTAGGAGGACGATTTCATTGAAAAAAATGCACTTTTTCGATATCTTTATTCTGCGTAAAAAACAAAAAATCGTCTTGTAAACGTTTAAAAATGAACAGAAAAAATTTAGAAAATTTTTTGACACTGCTAAAATTTAGGATTTTTTATGACGAATCCAATGGTATAAATTAGTATACACTTTGAAATTATTTTAATGCAGAAAAATACATCTTTATCCCAAAAAACGACATTACGAAAAATTGAAAAATCGAAAAGTGTATTAGTTTCTTCCAGGAAATGGCTAAGTAGAATCAACTATGGAAAAAATTGCACAAAACTATCTGATAGGTTTTTTTCTCACCTTTCCAACGCCGGTTTCAGAAGTTAAAAATTCGCAAGATTCGCTGAGATACAGCTATTTTTGTACGATGCATTTTTTAGGCTTAAAATTCAATAATTCTGAGCTAGCTCTATTCATTAAAAAACCAGCGAAGCAGAATTTAAGCTAAAAAATGCATCGTACAAAAATAGCTGTATCTCAGCGAATCTTGCGAATTTTTAACTTCTGAAACCGGCGTTGGAAAGGTGAGAAAAAAACCTATCAGATAGTTTCATGCAATTTTTTCCATAGTTGATTCTACTTAGCCATTTCCTGGAAGAAACTAATACACTTTTCGATTTTTCAATTTTTCGTAATGTCGTTTTTTGGGATAAAGTTGTATTTTTCTGCATTAAAATAATTTCAAAGTGTATACTAATTTATACCATTGGATTCGTCATAAAAAATCCTAAATTTTAGCAGTGTCAAAAAATTTTCTAAATTTTTTCTGTTCATTTTTAAACGTTTACAAGACGATTTTTTGTTTTTTACGCAGAATAAAGATATCGAAAAAGTGCATTTTTTTCAATGAAATCGTCCTCCTAGGTCAAAACTGACTAGGGAATTCGATTCTACACACAAAAATACGTAAGAAAACGTCTTGTCGACATAAATTTTACCTTCTGAGCAATGTTAGCAATCTATTATATGATTGCCATTTTCAGAGCGATTTTGCTAAATTTCCGAAGCACGTTTTTAAACTTCAAAAGCCTATCGACACCGGTTCCGGTCACTTTTTTGACTTCTGCAGCCCGGCTTTCTTCATCTGAAACCTTGAACTTTCAGCTCAGCCATGAGCCCAGGCGATACAAAAAATTTTTTCAAAAACGACCCGGTCTACTATGCAGGATATATACTTATATCTATTCACTCAACTCTCTTGTTCTTAGCGATTCTTCGTCTCATTTTCGTCCTTGTTCGTGGAGAGTGTAAAAAGAAGAGTAGAAAATTGTATTTTCCAAAAAAACTGTTATCTCGCTAATAGAAAAAGTTTTCAGACGCGCAATATTGCAGTTTATACAGGGGCAACTGTTCGTTTCACGTGGGAATGTGTAAGTATCATGTCGTAAAATAAATGTATACAAATATCTCGCTCATCATTTTTGATAAAATTTATATATGATTAATCAACTTGAATAAAAATATTTTCTATCATTTTTTAATGTAATTAGAAAATTGTATTTATTAATTTGACTTTTTGTGTTTCGATATGTGGAAATATTTCGAAAATGATATCATATAAAAAGTTGCAATATTTTTATTAGATTGTTCCTCCGGACACTATTCATCAAGGGATGCCTTTAATGCAAACAACGTATGAGCCTGATACTGGGAAAATAACTTATTTTGTAAATATATCTGGTTTTATTCTCAAATTTTTTTCCTGAGGGCTTTTTTGCCTTCGATGACATGCACCCGAGGGTGCCATTTGACTTCTGTTAATTAGTTTTGTTGATTGCTGAAAGCTCATGTGATTTATATGCTTAGTAAGCTTTACGTGTGGCACTTTTCGAAAACTTTTAACGAGGTAGATACTTCACTTCTGCCACTCCAAAAAGTAATCAATACTCCAGCTGCTTAAGCGTATCTGTTTATTGTTTCTATGAGCTGGCTCACCCGTAAATTAAACTTGAATGAATTTTAATTGCTTTTAATACCAGATGCGATCGAAATAATCATTCGAAACCGATTGTTGAAAATCTATGATAATAATGTTGTTATTCTCAACCATTTTTTATGCGTAAAAAGTTATTTTATATGTATAAAACTGAGAGCCATTTTTACATTAGCCACAAAAAGTCGTGAACGAGTATATTAGCTTCCTAGCAGGAGTAGTTGGACTGTGTGACAGGACCCTAGAGGCTATGATCGCGTGGAATTCCTCTCGCCCCAAGCGCCGAATGTCACTCGTGGCCTCGTGAGGATATTTAAGTCATTACGTGGTACATTTTTTTTTTTTTTTTTTGACAGTTCAATGAATGACTAATGCACTTCCCGAGGATGATGTCAATTTCACACGAAAACTCTATGATATTAAAATAAGAGTTGGTCAGATATTTTACATGAATATTTTGCATGACTTTTCACTGCTTCGATTACTTTCATAATTATACAGAAAAATAGTGCAGAGCTATCAAAACGAAATTTTGAATGGACATTTTTCCTACAAGATTACTCGACGTTCTCGCAGTAGGTAGTTGAACGTAAAATCAAAGCACTATTTATCATAAATAATGTATACCTTATACATATACTTCTCGAACGTACGGCTGAAATAGCAAGATGAAAAGTCATACATTATTCAAATCATATCTCAGTCCGTTTGTCAACTTGTCACAAAGGAAATTTAATGATCCCTCGAGAGTACTCGTCCACTGCGTACAACATATTCTCGACTTGATTCACTTGAGTGTTAATCTTGCTACGGCTCTTTAGTGGCTTTGTTTTAAATTTTTTAGGCAAACCACTACGCTATGTATTTGCATGAATATCGTCAACTTTTTTTAATGCTGTATTTCGCTACAAAAAATGAACTAATGACATGCAGGGAATAAAATGAATTTTTTACGCATTTTATATTTTTTTATTTTTTCCTAATCCGCTAGAAAGATTTTTATATTGAAAAGTGGGATTAAATATGTAAAAAATGTACTCTGCATTTTCACGGTCCAGATTCGTCTAATATCTTACTTACTCTTCCTGCTTATTCTCTACTTATAACAAAAGTATAACCTAAAATATGAAGTATTTTAAAAGGACCTCTAATTGGTCAACAGTCTAACAGTAGCGACAAACTAGAACAAGAGAATTCGAAAAGAGTCCCAAAAACGACAACCAAAGTCAAAATGTAATCTATGAAGTATTAAAACAAAAAATTACTGGTGCAGTTAAGTAATGTTACGTATCATCGTATATAAATCTTTTCTATTCATTCGATCCTTTCTGATTTATCAAAAATCAATACAACAAATTGTGTGAATTCTCTAAACATTAATAGAGTAGGAAACGCCTGATACGTTTTAAAGGCAAGAGAAGAAAAATATATTGCTTTGAGATGTCGCTTCTACATACGGTAGTTCTTTGCGAGTCGGGATTCTCTTCTTTCCTCCTTCGGACGTGATCCGCAGACTTTTTATCTGACGACAATAAGCTCGAAAATTTGATTCGTATACGTCTGTTATACCTACTTTGCTTCTTTTGCACGTATACGCAGCAGCGCTGCAGCGTCTTTTTTTTCTTTTGCGCGGCTCCTCCTTGCAGTGCTCGATGTTTTTCGTTTTTTTTCTTGTTTTTTGTTTTTTTTTTTTTTTTTTCAAAAAAGTGCAAATTAATTTATCGATCATTCAGAACACAAGTGAGCGCAAGTGGCCGTTGAGAAAGTCGTAATTTATATAGAGAAAATGATTCGGGTCCAGTGCAGTGGGAGCTGAAGGCAATTTTTCCTCGTGTGCGAAGCAGCAGCATCTGTTTGGCTAGCGAGGAATCGAGGCCGAGAAAAGTAAGGATCGGAAGCAACACGTTACATTATTTTTTTGCCAGTCGCCTGCGTACACGAGCTTTTGCCAAGCAGTTCGATTAATCATGGCCGCGCAAATACTCCGGAGCTTGCACGTCGTGACAAAGCACACCGAGCCGTGACACGCGATGAAGAGTCCCTCTGATAGATGATTTCGCTCGCTCGCACATTGTTAGTTTGTCAAAGCTTTGACACTGCGCCACGCGCCCAACGCGCCGAAAGTATTTCGCTAGCTTTGTTGAAACAACCGACATCTCTAAATTACGAAAATACAATGAAAAACTTACAACGATGTAAATGAAAAACAGAATAACAGCATAGATTTTGCAGAAACATTATTATTTATTCTGTGAATATTCTTGTTTTCAACTTCATCAGTATTTACAGGGTAAATTTTTTACACAGAATAAGTTCAATATTTTGCTACCTAAAAGTGTAAGAAGTCACTGCGCTTGCAGTGCACATGCGCGCTCACCGTTTAGCAAGTTTCGCTGGTTTCACAACATTTTGGCTTGCGGGTGTTTGATTCCTCCCCTTCAGTAGTGCGGCATAGCTTATCACGGTGCGACTTCTCTTATGAGCATTTCTATATTTTCTCCAAGATCTTTGACGGTAAATTTGAAAATGAATTGTGCAGCCAAAATTTCTAGTACATTCATTCATACATTATTTATCAATAAAAAAATCTGATGTAGGTTTTTCGTGCTCTTAAATAAACAAGTGGTCGTAAAACATTTACTGTAGAAAAAATCGTCAGATTTTTTTTCGGAGTGATGAAAAAATTTCTATTTCAAGCGAAGCCCCTGATTACTTGGTTCCAGCTGATTTTCATTTTATTACTTATCACAGGTATGAAAAAAATCTAAAAAATATTATTAACCCAAAAAATGAATGTGAGCGATTTATTAAAAATTTAACTTCTATATCTGAGTCGGCATGAACGGACAATTATGAGATTTTTAATCCGCCAATTGCTACTCTTGTTTGGCAGCTCCTTACCTATAACGCGCAACAATTCGACCTTGATTCTTTGACTCATGCTGTAGCTCATTAGCTTGTTTAGCCAATGTGTCAATAGCGAGGAAACGACGTTCAAATGCTACTTTGACTACAGAGATTTCATATTATATAGTTCGAGCTGTGTTAGTGGAAGGAACTTGGAGATACTGATACGAACACGAAACAAGGTGACTGGTATCGAGTACAGTTATATAGGGCGCATTAAACCTCTCATACTTACAAACAAACTGTGAGATAGCTTACAACTCTCAATGGAACCATGTCCATATGTTAACATTCAACTAACTTTACTCATGTATTCATGCTGAAATGTCCGAAAAATGTCGATGGAAATCTATGCTACAACGATTATTGAGTAAAATCAACTTTCAATTTTATAAAGAATAGTTCTTAATCGCAAGTCGTGAAATTAAAATAAAGTACAGAAATACATAATCCAATTGAAATTATCATTCCAGCTCAAAAAAGCTAGTCAATCGATAATTGACGGAGAAAATAACAGATGAAAGAAAAACCAGGCACGTGAGATAACAAGCCGATGAGACCAGAATGTTTTTATTTTTCAGCGATCAGCCGTACGCTAGATTTTACCTTCCATTTGAATTCAAAGCCGAATAAATTCACTCATCGAGCGTGAAAATATCGTTGGTGGTACAAATTGCCACGATAGAAGCACATTTATACATGTATAGCCGCACGCACATATAGCATAGAAAAAACTATGTTGCAGTGTCGGTGAACTATGCTGTGCAATAGCTTCGCTATTCCCTCTTGTCCTATATCATCCTATATACGATATATATCTCGCAACGACTTGCTGCATACTGTGGATTGTAAATGCTTCTGACATTTTTGTTACTAAATTCATCTTTTTCCCTCTGTCTCTATGAAACTCACGTCTCTGCACTTCACATTTTTTATTGCCTAAAATGTTGTAATCGTGCTCGATTATTACCAGCTGATTTTACATTCGCATGCCATTACATTATTGTGTCAATTTTACAAAAAATATGGTTAAGCAACTCGCCAACCTTTTTTTCATTTCTTTTACGTGCGTGAATAAACAGCTCTGTAGAAATCATCAAAATATAATGTGGTCGAAGCTCTATACGAGTCTTTGTCCTTTCACTCTATTACTCCGCCTCGATATATAATACACTTTTATCTCCATTTTTCCTTCGATGTTTTTATCTTTCCATACGTTTCCGTGTGCTCGCTCGCTCAGAGACGAGTATTTTCTTTTTATTTCTTTTTCTTCTCGCGGCCAAATCGAATGAAGTAAATCGTCCTCGCCGGATCCGAGCGTAGGGACTTTGATTCCCGCCAAATTAAACGGAATAATCTTCCAACGAGTTTACCCCATTGATTCGACATTTTATCGCGTGCGCCGCCGAGTTTGCCTCAGCCCAACGTCGATTAAGATGCGCCCAACGCGCTGCACTCGAGAACTGCATCACATGCACTTACTTTTGAGTTGTAATTGGATGAGATTTAGCCGGTATCGCATTATTTATCATCCGCTTAGCTCGACGATCCGGACGACTCGGGATCACGGAAGGCTCGTTTCTACGCATTTCCTACTTTGCTTCTTGCGCTCGGTCTTGCAATACGTTCGGCGAGATATTTTTCGAGGGGGTGCGATAAAAAAGGCGCTGAAAGCTCCACTCTATGTTCGGAGCGCCTCGGAACAAACAAACATTAGTCGAATTTTGAGCGAGGCCGCAACTAACGGCAAAAGAGTATGAGCACTAGTCGCTACGGCCGCAGAGATTTAAAATAGAGCCTGGATTGGGCTCGGGTTTCGCGCGCTCCACCGATGACAGGAGCTTTAAAAATCGTTTCCAACGCGCACCTCCTCTTTCACTGGCATAGTTTCCGCTTTAATTACTTCAACCGCTCTGGAACGCGAGTAATACTTTTGTATCGTATTTTACATAAATCTTCTATCGTCCTAAGGAAATGAGTTTTCTAATGTCATCGAGATAATATGATAGTACTGTATGATGTGCATGAGCCATTGATTTCACATGTGTATGTTTTACTGCAGAAAAAATAATCGATTAAAATAATAAAAGCCCTTATCATAATTTGATTATACATTTTAGTGTACATGTAAAGATAAAATAATTTTTAATAATTAATTTACTAAACACTTATATTGTTCATAATATAAGTCGACTTTTTATGAAATCCAATGCCCCCAATTTTAATTTATTATTTAAGTATTTAAATAAACACTAATTTCATTAATTGGTTCTGTAAAAATTTAACACCTCATCCATTAAATAATTGTGCCCCTTTTCATTATTCAGAATTGCTAAAAATGTGGCCCTGAATTTTTCGTATAATTAATAGTTTCTGCTTCAAATGGGCTGCCAAAGATATGGATCAAATTAAACTTTTTATACAAAAATTTTAATATTCCCTCTTAATTTTTTCCGTGAATATCTTCATTTTTCCACGATTTTCGAGATCACCTTCACAGCTAAAGCGCAGATACAGTAACGATGCGAGTTTTGGGGGGTTTAGGCGAACACGATCGAGGCAAACTGCGCGTACGCGTCGTCGCGCATGAATCAAGTTTAAATTAAATTGAACGCCACGGCGATGGCTTCGTGCGGCCCGATGTGGCTTGGAGGTGGCAGCTGTTGCAGGGAGAAAAGCAGAGACACAGGCTGAAAGTGCAGGATGCTGCTGCGGTCGTCGCGTACTACTGCCACACATAGTCTGCGGCGCAATAATCAGCGACTCGGCAGCTTCTCATCCTTGCTCGGAGGCTTCGACATTATTTTTCACCTTTTGCGCTTCGGTCGACTAACGTGCCTAGCCCCTGAATATACGCACTTGACTTTCTTTAAGCGACTCGTGAAAATCCATCGAGTCCCTCGATAACTTGTAGGCTAGCTTGTAGTGAAACGAGTTTATTTGCCTGAGCGGCACGTGCAGACTCAACTGCGCATGTGAATCTCGCTACTGCCTATAAATATCGAGCTGATCTGTCCACGACGTACAGTGAACGTGCGAGGCAGCCGCCAGTCAGCTCGTAAATCGGAAGTGCCGCCCAGGGGATGTGCCGACGAAGATCACCTCGATATGATCGTCCTTGCCATAACTACAGGTGCCTGGTCTGAAATCCATGAAATATTTATCGATACTTTTATACTTTAAAATGTTACTTATTAAATTACACACATATAGGATGATCACGTGTGGATACCAATAATTCAGAAGTACGAATTTATTTTTTATCATCTAGAACATCCATAACATCATATACTTTTTATTGAGAATTCAATTTAATCCATAGAAAATTTATAATTTTCTGATTCACATTGTAAAAAATTGAGCTTTTGTTAGGTTCAAAAGGTACATCAATAGAAAAAAATCGTTCAAATCATTGGATATCAATACGGAAAAAGCTAAGCGAGAAACTTGGGCATTGTGCTCTCAAGATACTATCGACAGCAATACTAACTGAAGATTTTCATTTTTTCATCTTACCTCTATATATACTCGTATTCTCTATTGACTGGAGTACAAGTCATGAAGATATCTAGTTTTTCGATTTTTCAATAAACGAAAGCTTTTAGCACTTGTTGAACCAGCTTTTATTGCTTCAATATTTGAGGAACGGAGAAATCTAATATGTTCGTGTCATACTTTGTGTACGTACACTTAATTGTTCTTTACATTTTTTTATGAAAAATAAAAAATGCCGTTCAATTAATTTCTTTACAATTGACTGTATAATATTGTAACTACTCAAAATGTGCACCTCTTTGAAATGTTTCTTTTTTGGACAAATATAGATCTGTGCAAAAAAATTGTAGCAACGCAAATAAGAAGTTACTATGTCCAACAAGTCAATCACTCATCTATTTTACGTCTATTATACTATTGTAACTCACACATAAGCGTCCAAACGTCGTTACAAAATACAAAAAGGAAATTAATAAGTTACGTAATTTATTTTTACGATTGTAGAGTTAATCATTTATTTTACGATAGGATTTATTAATTGAGTGTGGCCTTTTAATAATATTTGATATTTGTCTTTACACGGTCATCATTTGGTTTACTGTTTATACATCATTTATCAAAGGCATATCTCTAAACACTTGGCTTAACCCATCTTAACTCAAGCAATTACGAGAATAATAGCCTATGACAATAGTGACGTGGGCAGTAAGAGACATCTATAGTGAAACTTGTCAATGGCAGACTGTCTGCACTAAAAATATTAATGTTTAATATTAAATTCGTAATATATAATTATTGAATGACAAAGAGGTTTCTTCATCTTATAAATATCGCATTCAATATTTTGTTTATTTTTCATTAAATTTAAAAAATATTTTTCGAATACAATATATACCATAGCATATAATCTAATTCGTAATTATGTCTACAGTGTGTGAAAATTCACAGGCGAGGAGAGAACGAGGAATACTATTAAAATTTACAGTTTAATTGCGGAAAAGTATAAAGATCTTCTGAATTTACTGGTATAATTTCCTCAGGTCGTTGAGATGCGCAACCAAATAACAAAACTGCAATTAGAGCCAACGCATCCCTTTCTCTTAGCTTTACCAGATCTCGTTTACCCTAACGAAAGGAGGGTTTTACCTCCGATGTTGCAACTTCATTGCCGTTCTCGAACTTTTACGTTCTCGTAACTAATTTTGCCATAAAGTTTTACTCAGAGTCAAAAACATTCAAGGCTTTCTGGTTTTTTCATCATAAATTCTTGGCAAAAGATACAAATTTGTCAAGTATCCCCTATTTCATTCATAGTTTGAGTTGGAATTGAGGCAGGAAAGTTCAGAGCTTTGATATATTATTCATTGATTCAATACATAGCTTGAGAAAAATTTGAAATGCAAAAGTATCATATTCTTGATAATGAATTTGAAAGACGAAAGTGATATTGACCGGCTTCTATATTTTCTTTTTGCAGATGTCAAAGGATTGAAAAATGTTAAATTGGAGGTGACTCCAGAGGTAGTAGAGCAAGGCCAAGAGGCCATTCTCAGGTGCTCGTACGAGCTCGAAGACGAACCTCTTTACTCACTGAAATTCTACCGGGGCGAACACGAGTTCTACAGGTATTCGCCCAACGAAAGGCCCCAAACGAAGATTTTCAATTTCACTTGGATCGAAGTCGACGTGAGTAATTTAAGCTGTATGAATATATCGGGAATCAGTCGAAATTGAGATGAACATGTTACGATAGGCGAGTCGTTCGAGCGAGAGCCAAGTGACCATCCGCAAAGTAGACTTCATATTAAAAGGAAACTTCAGCTGCGAGGTGACGACGAACCCGAGCTACACCACCATGACCAGCACCAAAAGCCTCACCGTCGTTTGTGAGTAGTTCCAATTGCTTCTTTGAATTTTTTCGTTTCTATTCTCGCTCATTGCGTAATTGTTGCGGCACGACGCTAACGAGCAGCAGCTCTCCTTTGAGCGAAGCGTCGCAGTCGAGATATTTACATAATATTTAGCTTCGATTAATACGACGCAACTGAGATGATCTTGGCAATTTTACAGCTGTTCCCAGGGGCAAGCCCGTTATCGCGTCCGAGCGAAAACGTTACGAGCCTGGAGAGACTCTGCGAGCTAATTGCAGCATTCCACTTTCGAGACCAGCGGCTCGAATTTTTTTCACCCTCAACGACGACGCGGTAAGTGCAATTATTTACACGACGCCACATTTGCGCGGTTTCGCCTCCCCCGCCTCAAACCGCCGATTTACTTTGCCGATATTTCTCGGGGGATAAGCTCGCGCGAGTTGGCCCAAGTATCACACGTGATTGAATTGCGAGCAATCTCATGTCATTCGACGAATTTTGCGCAAAGTTCGAGTTACTCGCAGACTCCGGCTACGCATGCGCAACGACGCTTGGGGTAAAAAAAACACTCGATGAAAAGTTTGCCAGTAGCCGCGTGTGCGTCTGTTTGCCTAGAAAAAAGTTGGCGTATGAAAAATATGAGAAGAAAAAGACGAGAGCGAAAATATCCACGTAGATACCGAGCTCTACGAGGATGTTTCTGCCACGAGCAATGATGCGGAATTCCGTTGCGCGTATCGAATAAACGAAGCGTTACCGAGAGTACGTTTGTATGTATACCCATATATAAACATAGTATAGAGTTATAAAATATAGCACAGTATACTGTTTTTGCTTGATTGGTTCACTCTATTTCAAGCTTCGTACTTCTTGTGTTTATAATTTGTTTTGTCACTTCAATGGTCAAGTGGCTCGGTTATCATTATTTTAAAGCAATTTGATAACATACGATTATATTGAGAATAATTAAAAATAATTTTTTTTACAAATGAAAAGCATTTATATTTTGGAAAGTTAACAACATTTAAAAATATCTATTTAGAATTTATTCTGAAAATAATGTGTCAAATTAACTAAATATGTTTATTTTTTAATAATATCAGAATTCATTAAATTACAATTGTTATTTAAAATGCTTCGCCACTTTTATCAAATACCAAAATTAGACCAAAATTTTTTTGCATGTAAACAAACAAATGCCAGAGTTTTCATCGCACGAGCTTATTGAATTGAAATCCTCCAAACGCCTGAAATATAATATATCACAATTTAAGCATTCGAGAGAAGAAAAGTTGCGCGCCTCATCAGGATAATTGAAAGAGTAGCAGGAGCTATATAACGGGGCGCAATTGTGTGTCCGCGAGGCTATAAATTATTCTTTGTCCGACATGATAGCTTGGCGCACGAAGTAGTCTCATTCAATTTGAATAACGGGCTCGCGACTGTTTGTTTCTCGCTATTTTTTTTTTTTTTTACAATTCAAAATAACAGTAATCCGCAGCTTGACAAACGTAATGTGGAGTTGATTGTACCAGAGCCTGTGTACACAGGCGATAATGCTTCATATATACGTATGCATAGGCCAAATTCATGTAAATTGCAAAAGTAATTGTATTAAAGCTGACGCACATGGGTGCGCAGGAAAATTAATTGGAGTATGGCTGGCGCAAAGCACGACAATAATTAGTTTGGTTCAGAGACGAATTGCTCATCATGGATTTACAATAAGTGCGCGGGTATCCTCTAGCAGTTGTTCACCAATTGAAACTTTGTCAAATCAACAGCTAAGGTTTATAAGTACTCTCGCGCGCGATCGTCCTTCTCACAACAAAGTGATCGAAAGGGGCGCGCTTGAATCGGAAAGTGGGTCGCGTGACACGATCGCTTCCTCGCACACGCACACACGCACGCGTACACACGGAAATTCCAGGGCATTCTCGTGGCGTTACAGAGGAGTGGTGGTGCACGCAAAACTTTAGCAACAGAAATAATAGCTTTTTGTCTGCAGCGAGCTACTGCAAGCTCGTTTCAGCCTGTGTGCGCGGCAGCTTACAGCAAGAACTGTAGCGGGGCTTTTCACTCCGAGTCGGCATATAGATAGAATCCGGCGACGGTGGTTAGCGCTACAATGACGATGGCAGAGCGATAGAAGGAAGAAATTTCCCAGCCCTTTTGCGCGCTATCCTCTCCCGCGTGTATATAGCCGCCTATTCGAGGAACAAGTTTTAAGTGTTGGAGCATGAAGCCTGAATTACACCGAAGCCGCTGAGACTATTATACGCCGCGCGGTAATTCGATGTGTTTCATTTGTCGATACTGCCGCCGCCAGTGCACTCCCAGCATTTATCCCCGCGTGCATGGAGCGAAGCGCGCACCATGTATACATGTATATATACCTAACATAACTCCGAAGAATTGTTTCGCTCTCTCTCGCTCGACTGTCTTCACTGATTTAAATGTACCCTGTACGCCAGTTGCAAATAATATGTATACTCCTCGCAGCCAATGGCATTGTGAGCCCGTCGCTCCTCGGGTAATTGAGCTTTTCTTACCTTTTTTCACTTTCAGATCAACTAAGTGGAAGTATGCAAAGCATTCATCTTTTTTTTTTACTATCTTCTTCTTCTGCTTCTTCTTCTTCTTCTTGGCACAGGCAAAACATTTCAGGAGATATTAAAGGGTGCAAGACGTCTTCGAAGCTATTTCAGTCATTCCTGTCTTCGCGGCGAGTCGCTTGCTCGGCGCGTTCTCAACGCAAACGTCTTGTGCTCGCTGCCGAGGCGTCGATTTGACACTTTTTTCGACAAGGCGCGCGTCTGACTCGAAACATGCCAAGTGTCGTCGGCTCCTTTTATTCTACAGTTCCTGCAACTCAGCCTACGCGCGCCTTTAACTTCCCCCGAGGGGGTGGGCAAGATGAAGCTCCAGTCAAGTATTTTCCAAGCAGTTGGATCCAAGAAGATCTCGCTTCGAGCTAACCTTTGCCAATATTAGCACCAACTTTCCCTTCTTCTCCTCGCCCAACTATCGCACAAGTTGTACCGGCAAATATTTCTGTACGGTAAAGTGTCAGTCTTTCTACAAAGAATTCGTGCGTATTTATTTTTTCAAGTCATTTGTACGAATTTGACGAGGGCGCAAACAGCAAGTTGAGTTTTAAGGTCTTGCGTTATACTGCCGCAGCTTTAATGGAAAAGAATTTAAGGGCAAATTTATTATCGAGGCATGCGTGCGTTACTACACAATATAACAGCGGCAACATCGAGCTGAATTTGCATGCATATGGGAGCCCTTGCGATGCGCTTATATAGCGGGAGGACGGCGATGTGTCGAGAAGCTACCGAGTCAGCGCGCGCCGCTGCTGCTGTTGCTGCTGTAGAGCGTCAAACTCGAGCTGCGCAGGATTATTCGGCAAGTTTCGTGGCTCTCAATTTCAAGTGTATGTGCAGCGCGCCTGCAAATGTGCGGATGTGTGCGCTGTATATACGGGTGCGAATAAGGAAGAGTCGGTTGGTTGTGTGCGGCGCGATGCACACCGCGCGCGTCACACAGCCACCCCCGTTTGGATTACCTCAGCTATAAACATGCGATTTGGCTGACTCCTCTCTCGGTATCGCGATCGTCTGCGATGAATTTGCTCCAGTTGAGTCCTTATCTACTGTCGCAATGTATATAGGGTGCGCGCGAGCTCCGAGTTATTTTTTGTGCATTCGGGAGGCAGATGCGATTCCAGCAACTGCTTAATTGATTTACATTTACTTGTGCACTGCCAAAATAATAAAATTTATCGAGACATCGGCAAATATCTGCGAGCTTATTTTGTTTTCTCTCGTGGTCTTTAATACTGCAACGTTCACGAGCTACATGCCGAGGACTTCTGTGTCCGCGTGATCCCCAGGGTTATTGTCTTCAGCGTCGACGCGTCTGCAACGGCAGATACACATTTGAGCTTTATGCCCGCGCGTTCCCTAGCACTTAATACCCCGCTTTGTTTAGCATATAAATTTGTGCCTCTGCTCGACTGTGTAGCCACGAAACTAGCCGACGTGGTTAGATGCACAATTGCTATATTAGAAAAATTCAACAACAAAAAAATACGAGGAAATCGATATCTTTGCGAACACTTGTTATTGAACAAGGGATAAGTATACTTTACAGGCCGGAATACCTCTATTTTTTCCTTCGTAGACAAGTACGTTGATCTGGCTACGTCAACAACGATAACGAAATCTAAATAATCCTGTTTTCACAATAAAGCTCTTTTATCATCGTTCTCGTATGTGCGAGCTTGCAGCGAGCCTGTGTGCGCACGATGTGTGTTTGGGTTTAGGCTCCCTTTCTTGCGGCGTCTGAGACCATCGATCAATATATACTCGTATATCCATGACAGCTCACGTTGCCGATAAAAACTGCGAAGGCATTAAAACGTTAATTACTGGATGCGCTATGTGTGTATTAGGGAATAACACTCGTCCAACGAAATATCGATTATAAATTGTATATATCGATAAAAATACTAAATGCGCGGATTCCGCGCAAAAAAAGGATGAGCATGAGTGAAATTATCAGTTTTGCGAGAGAGAGAGAGAGAGAGAGAGAGAGAGAGAGAAAAAGAGAACACGAACGATCGTGTCGTAAAAGATTGTGTTTACCCATTCCCTATCGTTTGTGCATCCCGATAAACGATGCAATTTGCAATTTTGAAAACACGATAACACAGCTGAGCCAAAAAGGCAATCATTATTTTTTTGCGCTCTCTCTCTCTCTCGCGCAGGCTTTGTACTTACATTTTTTTCCCCTGCAGTCCCCTGTTTCATTTCTCTTTATGAACAAAGCTTTCCCGGTGCGATTAATTAAATGAAGCAAAAGTATCAATATTTAAGCTCGTTTGCTTAATCGCGTATTTCGAGTTATTGTATCTTATAATTTGAGAGTCGGTACAATGCATTTATAATGATTTTGAATACACATTAAAACACTTCAAAAGCTCGATGTTGAATTAAAAACTAGCTCATTAACGAGGCTTAATGGAGGTAAAAATGTCTAAAAATGCAAAAATAAGCATAGACAGGAGGAGAGAGTTTTCTGCGTTGCAACTTAACATAAAAGACGTTAATGGAGAGCATAGAAATTGACGCTTTTTACTATCATTCGACTTCTCTCTTAAAAGAAGCGGCACGACGTTGTGTTCCTTTTTTCGTCGACTCGTCGACTCTTATCGAAGTAGAATTAAGACAAGCACTGTGCTCTATGCAATTCCAGCCGAATGAATTTCATGAAAAGCAAATTTGCGCTAATGCTTTTAGCCAAGAATTATTATTATTTTTTTTTCTCCAGAAAAGGAAAGTACCCACCAATTTTTGGGCGTGTACGGCATTTTTCGCGTGTTTCTTTAAAATCCATGAATATATAACACTCATTTGCGGGTCTGCGCGCGTGTGGAGAATAACTGAAAGCCCCGGGTATTTGTTGCCGCATCTTCATCTTATCTCAGAAATTTTCCTCGCAGGTAAACGAAATCTTCGTGAAAGAAGGAGAAGCGAGCCGTGAGGGGGATTCACGGCAGAGCATCGAATTGAGCATGCCGCTGAAAAGTGTGCACTATAGCCTCAGCGGCGAGCTGAAGCTGCGCTGCAACGCGAAAATAGCCGACATATACGACGAGTGGAGCGAGCTTCGATTGGGCAGCAGCAGACAGCGAGAGCCCGTGCCCGCCAGCGGTAAGTTCTCTCGGCTAGATGTTTTATCGCTCGTTCGCTCGAGCTCGTCTATATATGTACCTAACACATTGCGGAGGATATAACATTGTGGAGCGCGATAACGCTCGGCTCTCTCTCTCTCTCTCTCTAGCGCGCGTAATGCCAAGCATGATAGAGCGAAGCGTCACACCAACGGTAAACTTTATACTCGAATACAATGAATCAATGCAGCTCGAGCCAATTGTGCCCGAGTATTAGCGCGCGATGCTATATTCCCCTATCAAATCTTCATAATAGAGATTCGAATGCGCTTGCAAACTTGCGATGCGCGCGACTCCCGAAACTTCTTGAGACGTTCGAACTCGGGGCGACGTCTCACTCGGGCGCTATCTTCTTCCTCTTCTTCTTCTTAATATGATCGCTGCAGAAAATTACAGTAGAAAAAAAACAGATAATTTTCACAAAATCACAGCTTCAGTACGATCTGATAACATCGCGCGAATCTATTATTAACATTTGAGTCTTGCACAGCTGGCAGTTTCGCCGATGCGATTTAATTCGTCAGCGGTATTTATCTAGCTGCCATCAAACTGGCACAAAGCATTCGGGCTAGCGATCTGAAACGTCCCGAGTAGCTTCCCGTGTATAGATGAGATTATATACACAGTACACTCCCTCGTTATCAGACGACTTTAGCATAGCTGATTATGCTGGCAAGTCGTGTTTCCAAGTATACACGAAGCCAAAGTTGAGACTCTCAGGAGAGAGAGAGCGAGAGAGCGAGAGAGGGTAAGTAAGGAACAGTATCAGAGCTGCTTATCGACTCGTTGCTCGCTGAATTTTCACGACATCTCTCGTTATATAACCGATGCGCAAGTGTCGCTTTTACATTTATATAACGCTCACGCACACACGTACTCGTAGTTTAAGGAACTTTTCCGAGCTTTCAGGGGTTGTAGAAACTAGAACACACAGTTGCTTTTACGGTTATTGTTTACCAATTGTGCTGATTAAAATCTTTCACTTAAGATACCTCAAATCCAACGAATAACAACGCACTTTTGAAAAAACATAGACTAAGAGGCACCATTTCAATACGATTTACCAATGAACACTATTACCATTTGTAACACGTTAACTTGTTTCTTAGTTATATTTAGTGAAGGACACTTTTTTCCAGTTCGATCATCCAGCAGTTCCAATCGAAGTCTTAGAATTTCCGACTGGAGAAAATTATGGATAATCATCATGTTCTTAATACATTCGAGGTAATTTTTACCAGTCAGTAAATTGAAAGTATACGCATCGACGAGACTGGAGGGACAATACTTTTACATATTGTTTACAAGTTCAAAAAGACATTTTGAACTTGAATTTTAAAAATTTGTATAGTACATCACAGTAAATTGGTAAAAACTGTACGAATGAATAAGTTTGTAAGAAAAGTTTTTTAATGTATTAAACACTGTTACAATGGCACTTTGACTAATTGGAAAATCGTGACTCTTTCAAAAACGCCCTCAGTATAACTCATTAAGTTATAAATTTATATTTATAATGATAACCAGTTTAAAGTTAAACACTTAAAAATTTCAACTATTTATTCTTCATCATTTTCTTCCATAGACTGTTTCATTTATAATATTTGTTAACCAAATTAAAGTTAATTATATTAGTACCTTGCTGTAAATATTATGCAAAGCTACAGCCTGTCGAAATATGAGGATTTTACTTTCATACTTTATAATAATTAATTGTAAATAATTTATTTATATTTTATGTATGTGAATAATAAAATGTTGTAATTGATTCACTTGAAATTATTTTTGACAATAAAATTTCATTAACTGCCTAATCTGTATTTATATATTTCATTCATATTGCGTTAGTTAATAAAACTATTGATCGTTAACATTTTTTATCACAAAAAATGTTAAATAAATTAATTTTTTATGTTACTAAACTTTTCTTCTCCCTAAAATGAAATAACCAAGTATCTAGCGATAAAAGTTCAAACTGACAAGCTATGATCTACGAGTTGTGGCTGGTCTCGCAAAAGAGACACTAAATTTGTGAGCGCTTATTAGAGTAACTTTTGTGCATATAATCTCTGCTGAAAGTTTTCACTAACTATTATCATTGAAAACATGTATCAGTCACAATTTTACTTTGATAATTTTACAATCAAAGCTTTACTAAAAAAATGTATGATTAGTAAACAAATTTGATACCTGTACTGAAAATAATAATTTAGAATCTGAATCAAATTTTGAAGATGGATCAAAATGGTGGTAGGATTAAAGCATCATGAAGCATTGTGCTAAAATAAAAGTTTTGATAAATTAAAATTTATTCATTCAATTATCGAATAATTCAATAGGAAAACTTTCTGCATATTTAGAAAACATGATTGGCTACTACTAGTCTATTTTTTGCCGTATTATATTTACTTTTTCTCTTAACATTTCAAGTTACTATCATTGAAATTTTATGCAGCAGAATTGCGCTTAAAAAAAATTCGAATGAAAAAAGCCAACGTTGACTTCCAGAGTATAGTCAAAAGTATAAATTGTACTATCATAATAAATTCTGTAAAAATTATTCGATAATAAATGTAACACTCGAGTATTGATGAACAAAATTGCGAGATGTACAATCAGTTGGAGTTCTCGAATTCTAATGAGACTTTAATTGCATACAGTCCGGTAGCTTGCTGTAATTTGTCCAATAATTAGATCAGAAAAATGTAATCAAGTATTAATTCGATAGCTGCATCAAGTGGAAATCAAATTGGCTAACATTGGCATGTATTAGTGCGTAATTTTAATTGTTGCGTTTGAAGTATTTGGTAGCAACTCGAGTCTTGGCATGTTTTTTTCTCGGAAACTCAAGTTGCCATTCTCGTTTTCCATGATTTTGCCGGGACAAAGTGTTCATCAATGATTACAAAATCAACGATCACAAAAAATGCTTAAGAACGTAGTAATCAAGTTTCAATTGTAAGGTTATTGATGTCTCAGTAGAGTGGTCGAAAACTGGACGATTTGCATTCTTTAGATTTAATAAATTTTTGAGGAATATTACCAGCTTCTTCGGTAAACTGTATATAGGAGCATTTTTCTTGATCATAGATGATGATCGAAATCTAATCAATGTTCTTTATATACACCGGGTCATAAGTAGTATTGAGTTTCTTTGCACACTCAATGTTGCGTCAGTGAATTTTCTCTTCAAGATCATTATAAATTGACGTTTTTTTGTACATCTACAGTGATCATTTAAGATCTAGAAAAATTTTGCAACATTTTTATTGCATTCTAATTTGAAATTTATTTTTTTCTATACTTACTCATAATATGTGTATCTACGTGGCCACAAGTATTAAAAATAAAGTCCCTTCTTTTCTGTGAAACTCATCTCTTTTCCTTAGGTTAAAAAGTCAGCCATGAACCTGTATCAGTGTCTTAGCTGACGTTATAAAAGCACCCGCTCAACCTGATGCTATTGTCGGGAAATTTTAATATAAACGTCCTCAGTAGCATAATTTATTGGCTTTACTGTGCGCGACTGCATCATCGAGCACAAAAAACAATAGATCCAAGTGGATCATGTCACGAGATCACGAAGTTCTTGGTAATCTCGCCAGGCAGTCACCATCACCGCCACCACCAGCAGATCTCACGGGAAATCGAAGCGTCTTGAGGTGGAGCGAGGCTATAATGCACGAGGGCAGCTCTCAGAGGCGATATTAAAACAAGTCCACCCAGACACTCTAAGATGAGGGTGTAATACGTAGCCTGAGATCTAGTGGATGCGTCGGGAGAGCAGCTGGCTTGGTCCTGCACATAACGACCTAACGATCTGCTAGAAAAGTCAGTCCTGTACATGTTCGAATGGAAATTAGAGCGATTTATCATCAGAGGAGTTATCAGGCAAATTGCACAGTGTTATGTGAACGAAGAATATTTCAAAAAATGAAAGTAAGTTCTATTCGAATATAGTAGTAGGAAGCATAACCGGAGTTCATTCAACAAAATCATTGAAACTAATGTTTGATTGTTTGTTCTTATAATTAATATCCTATCTGGGCTATTATATCATTTTTAATCGATAACGAAAAATTTTTTTAGAATCTTTCTCAAGTTTTAATGTATCACATTCAAAATTGCAAAATATTTATTGAATTTACTTTACGAACATTTAAATTTTAAACTTTAGATATTGATAGTGATTTGTAACTAGTAAATGGCTTGAAACTAATTGATGAGAATCAAAATTATTTGCAATACATGTTTCGATGTTCAATTTTGAATTCATAGAAATTAGTCGAGTCGGCGCTAATAAATTAATTAAAGTTACAAAGAATAAAAATGATAAAAAAAAATTAATGGGCTAAACTACCCGAGTGTATAACGACTAAATGGCAAAATATTGTAAACGACACTCGGCACAATATCTATTGGTACATAACATTTTTCAAATGTAATCAGTCAGGCATGAAAATAAGCCTTAAAATTTTTGATAGAAATTGCTTCAAATTTTAGAAATAAATGCATTTTTTCCTACCTAAATTTCCAAAAAATGCGCGTATTACAAATAAAATAAAAAGTTTATAGAGTTGATAAAACTTTCAAAATTGTATTAAATTATAATTTTTTGTATGCTTAAAAAACAAAAAACGTTATCGAAGGTAATGGACAAAATATGTCGTACGGTTTTATATTCACAATAAGTTGCAAAATAGAAAAAATATGTTGGTCATAGAAAATGCACGGTAAATGTCAAAGGAGCGAAGTAATGGGAAAATTCCATACAATGCAAAAGTCGAGCTTTTATTTGTTTCGTCATTCTTTTTTTAAATTTAATTTAATATACATCTATAGTTATAATGGATAATAATTTATTTTAATAATGGAAAATATTTGTTTTAATCTTTTTATTGTAATAGTTAGGAAACAAAAAATTATGAAAAATATCACTGCATCGTTAATTATAACGGATTTAAGTTTCACTAGGTCGAGCTTGAAAATCCTTTATCTGATTACCTCTCTAATAAATGATGCATAATTGCAACTTTATTGTAATTAACGATGAAATATTTATTGGAATTTCGAATCTTTTGGTGCTGAATTCTTGTACACAATAACGCATTCTATACATTCGTAGCGTTACTGTAATATAAGCCATGTATATTTACCATTCAAATTTTATCTGCTCAATGAAAGCAGGAAAAGGAAATGCGATAAACTAACATCGAGCGCATAAAGTCAAACATTTCACAAAATAGCTGAAGTTATTGTATTAGCTATGCTTATGAAAAAATATTAATTCTTTGACTGAATGATTATTTGTTCTGAAATATGAAAATGTATGTTTTCATTTCTCAAAATGTCTGATGCAGTTGAATAAATTTTCACGCGGCATTAGACATTTTTTATCAAAAGTACATTAAGTATAATCCGCGTGACGTTGACCAATTCTAGGCGACAAAGTTCAAGCACCTAAGGTTGCAGTACTGTTTGGAGGGTCGCTCGAAATAGCTACTCATACACAGCTTACAAATATCATAGATATATGAAGGAACATGTAGAGTGTCATTCATAAACATTTTTCCCCTAAAAACGGCTTTAAACATTGTAAAAAAATATTTGAGCACCAATAACTGAAAGTATGAATGATAAATAAAGTGCCACAAACATTCGTAGCAGCTATATTTAATAGAAAATACGCTGGTGGAAATGCTCGACTCGGGCTACGGTGAATCCGAAAACGTTGCGAATCGCGCGTCGTTTTCGCTCGCACGGAGAATGCAAAGCGGAGATGAGAGAAGCAACAAAGATATCGCGCAGCTATGATACTCAGTCTTGGTTGCGATGCTCTCGCGAGCGTAGAGGCAGTCGTGTCTTCGCGCGCTCGAGCAAACGATATGCTGTATCTGAACTTTGCTCTCGCATTGTCGGCGTTGCTGGTGCTGCTTCGGAGCGATGGTGCCGCCTCGTGGAAGAAACGCGACGACAAGACCAGATGCCCGAGGGTCAAAGCGATGCGCAATTTCAACGTGACAGAGGTGACACGGTTTTGCCGAACGATTTTTAATTAAAAATACGCAACATTTTTGGCAGCTTTGCATAATTGAATTATAACACTGACAAGATTACACGGGGGCCGACATTATTACGCGTATAATGCATTCTGTGTGCAGCACCCCAAACCTTAATGCATTGCACGCATGAATAATACACATAATACGTATACCACTTTGAAGCATAATTAAATTGCTTCTGATTCACTTACGATCGTGAAATTTGCTAATTTCAAGTTGTCCCTGTACGCAATGTGTCGCTGGGAAACTTGGATGCGCTCGGCTAATAATACACTCGCGTTTGTGCAGTACGTCACGATGTAACAATGGAATTAGCCTACTAATATCGACGACGATCGAGTAACATATTCCACGAACATGACTGAATACGCTCTATGTAACTAATACACGTGTGTGTGTGTGGTCGTATAGTTTCTCGGCAGCTGGAATGTGGTGCAGTACTATGCTAGCTCCGAGGAGGCCATCACTTATCGCTGCATGAGAGCCGAATTATCGGTCATGCCGGAGAGCGCCGAGGTCACCATGAACTTCACTTACAGCTTCGCCGACGACCCGATCAATGAACAGCTGGTCGGTAACATCACGTGGACCATACCGGCACCCGAGTCACCGGCTCACTGGGTACACGCCGAAAAGCCATGTACGATTTTTTGTCTATTCTCTTTCGATTTTTTAATCCAATTGCTTCATGATTGATTTGATGTTGTTAGATGAAGGCGTTTACAACACTTACATACTGGATTCGGACTACCAATCGTGGGCGCTGCTGATGCACTGCGCGGAGAAAAGTAAAACTCCTCGCTACCTTTCAAGTTTCATCATGAGCCGAAAAACTAATCTCACTAATAATGTCATCACGTACTTGCGAGAAAAACTTCCAAGGTGATTAAATAATATATGCGTGAATACTCATTTTTACTCTATTAACTTATTCATTGATGGTTTTTCTATCTCAGGTACAACATTGATTTGGAATACATGTTTTCAATGGACCAAAGCAACTGTACGACTTTGGATCCAGTGTTAGCTAACTCTTACGTGCCTCCCTCGATCATTGAAGCTAAACAGAAGACAAAACCACGGAGGCATCCTTTGAAGCGGAAGAACAAAAGAGAATCGACGTAACTTGCTTTAATAACGCTAAAACGTGTACATAATTTTTGTATAGAAAATAACTCAATGAGCGAAGGCAGAATAAATAATCATAGAATGCAAAAATTTTAATTTGGGCTAGTTTTATTTATTTAATTAACAACGTCTTTATAATACTCTTCGTCTGCTTCTCTTTTTTCTTCATAATCACATAATTATAATGAACGTTTTTTTATTGTTTTTTAGACCCATCGCAACTTCGCGTGTTAACTTTAACATTTCACAAAACGCACACTTTTGACAGAACGAAGAACCATCGTTGCACACTCTTGTTTAGTTTTTATTTGTTTTCTTTTTTGTTTTTTTTTTTTTTTTTTTCATTAATTCAACCATTCATCATATTTTTCGCTCTTTATCAGTATAATTGATCACACATTTTTCATCGCTTTCGTTCATGTTCAATTTTTCTTCGCATTCAATCGTATTCTTATTCAATACACGTTTAATTGATTTTCTTTTATCATTGGATATGGCAGCTATAACTTATGATAAAAGTATTATAAAATCACTTAGTAGATGGAATTTTCGTGCAATATTTATTTTGCACAAGGAATTATGAAAATGTTTGACACGTCTTTTTTCATGTACAGATACGCGCCCAATACGCATCGACGGGCTTCATACAGTAAAAACTTTTTTTCCGATCGTGCAATAATTTTTAAATATCACAATAATACAACGACAAAATACTGCGTACAATAAATTTTGAAATAATTCTAGTTGAAAATCATGTAAATTAAAACAGTGAAGGTAGGTAAAAGTTTTATAAAAATTAGAAATGAATAAGCTGCATTATAACCACATTAGACTAGATATTCTGTGCGTGTGAATCCAGCCGCTCTTGTTAACCGATTTATTAACTGTGCCCGCACATTGAGATACATCTCACACATTCAATTTATTTCATGCAATGCTGTATGAATAAATACGCAAATTTTCATCTATGAGGTCCTAAAATGTTCATAATACACAAAAATAATCAACAGATAAAAATCGAATTCATGTTCATAAGATGAATAATATTTTTCGCTTTTCAAATAGAGAATACTGCCTCATTTTAAGGATGATTTTCATCAGTTTTCTATTTACTTGTTGGTTTTTATTTACTTTCTGATTCTATTATCATACACATTTTTCATTGTATAATAATTTTGTGATTTGTTATCTAATTGTCAACATGAAATAACTTTCTAATAACTCGAACAACCTTCAACACTAAAAAGATCGTTCACTATTAAACAATATTTCATTCCATTCATTGTTATCATACTCTTATCATTCGAACCTTATGATCAAGCATTTTCGACAAATTCACTGTTAACATTCGCATGGTTTAAAGAAATGTAATGTGTTTTATGTAAATCAATCAATCAAGTGTGCGTTTAGATCTCACAGTTTTTACTAGTATGGATAGCAAGATAAATTTTTTTATTTTTTGGTTGCTATTGACTTAGTATTTTCCTCAAATTCAATATAAAATATGAAGATTTGGCTAATGTAATATAAAGTCTTTAATACTCATAAAAGATTTAAAATCTGTATAAAATAGTGCTTGAAATCTTTAATAAACAAAAAAAGTAAAATGCATAATACCGTAAATTATTAATACTGTTGCTGCGTACAAAAAAAGAATATAGATTATACATATTATATAAAATTATTAGAAAATTGAAAGTGAAAGAAAAAGGGTTTACAAAATCTATTTTAATTGATTAAAGATTAATAAATGCCTATAGACAGATCAAAGTTAAGTACTTAAAAGTAATGTTATCATCGTCTTGCTAAGTCAATAATGGCAAAAAACAAAAGCGACAATTCAGAAGCTCATTATTAAGACTTTGCTGAAAAATTTACAAGTTATAATGTCTGTGTAGTCATAAGTATGTATCGAAGTGCTACGAAATTTTTCGAACTATTTTTAAATATATAGAATATTATTTTCTCTACTATTTCTAAAATTATAGATTACCCATCGCTCATTTCATCTGTAATCATATATTTTTCGTTTATTTTTTCTCTAATTTTCATGTTGAGATTGATGAATGATAGCACGTTCCTTTTTGTTTTCTTTTATTGCGATAACTCTTCGTAATGGTTGCAGTACAAGGAAGTAATTTATGCGTCACGATTACAATAGATTTAAAATATGTAACGCGAGAAATAGTAGATAATCGTAATTTAATAATTCGTTTTGATCCTTCGTGTGCATTTATTTTCTTATATTACACTCACGTGAGTAAGATTTACCCTTATTTTCTCGTTTATGATATTTCATCATTTTTCGAGATTATTTATGTACTCGTGTGCGTTTGTGAGAGATCGATGTTTTAATATCTCACTTAGAACAAAAATGCCTCTATAATAATAATTTTTCATTTTCATATACTAAGCGCGATGAAATGTACAGCTTTGACTAAATTGGCGTTTACCAAAAATCGTTTTCACTATAATGTACTTTATACTTTAATTATATAATGCGACTCCAACGTTAGATTTGGTTAATTGGAAGATTTTTCGTGACTTTTCACCTGATGTACATTTCGATACTTTTGGTTTTCATATCATTACCTTCAACTATGCATAATCGTACTCGGTTTGGCCAATTATTACAATAATGTAAACCATGAGGATATTTATTTTTTCTTTGACTTTATATTTATTTGGCATTGCACAGACACATTCAAAATTCATTGGCAAAGTACGTTAAAACAAAACTCAAAAATAATTTGTTTATGAACACGCAGCCACATTCACACACGCAAAAATTGTTCGTCATGTAATTACCACATATTTCACAATCGTCGAGCAACTGCATTTGATTGATCTAGAATAATGTATAAGATTTTCTCTTTTGTGTTTGTAATATTAATGTCGATTGCTCTTATTATGTTGTATTCTCTTTTATTTTTCTCTTCTATTCTCAACTGTAGCCCATCATGGTTTAGTAACTTTTCCGTCGATCCATCATAACTTCACGGCTTGCTTGTTACTTTGGATTTTTATTATCATCGCATTAAATATATTTATCGTGAAAAGTTTTCTTTTTCTGGCAGATTTAATTTCCTCTAGAAGATCCATTACAGTCTGAAGAGTAGAACGCGTGAACCGGCGAAGTTTTCTGTCAGTAGACCCATGATACTGGAACCCACTGTGGTGTTGTATATAACCGTTCGATGGCATCCTCCAACTGGGCAATCGTCTCGTCAATGTCGTTATTTACGATCGTCAAGTCAAAGAAGTGTCCGTAGGCTTGTCTCAGCATATCTGAATCTTTGGCCAGGCGTTCCAGACTTCCGTCGTACTGGAAAAGAAAATTCATTTTAAATTACATAGGCATGAAGATAGCAGTGAACTAAGTAGTTATGCGATGCAACTTACGTCTGCGAGATTTTGGAGTGCCGGAGCAGCGATGAATACAACGTAAGGAGCAAACTCGGCTGTCCTTAACACCTTCAAAGAGTGTGGTTCGATGTCGAGAATAGCTAGTCTCCCTTCCTCCAAAATTTTTCTGATGGTCTCAATTTTTGTGCCATACATGGCATCCTCATGAGTACCTAAAATTATTCATTTTTAAAAGTTCTCGAGACCTTTACATGAAAAAATAATGATTAAATACGTACCGTATTCGAGATATTCATTGGCTGCGATATCCGCCATCATTTCTTCGTGTGATACAAAGTAATAATTTCTTCCACTTTCTTCATCATTACGAGGTGGTCTCGTTGTATCTGAAAATTGAAAAATAACGTGAATAACATACAGAATTTAGCGTTTTCATGTGTATAACCATGGGAGAAGTAAAAACTACTTACGTGGAATAGGATAAGCATATTTGTCGGGGTGCTTAGCAATTATCGTATTTTTAATGTGTCTCCGCCCGACACCATGTGCTCCCAATAGCACCAAAGTTTTGCGTTGAAAGGCAGAGTCTTAAATGAGTGCATAAAGTTTTTAAGTGAACGAATCACGTTATTAATTTGCAATGCAAAACATTTTGAATTTTCAATAAAGCATAATTACTTACATGGAAGTTTTACAACTTCTTCGTACGTAACCAGATCTAATTGATCAAATACTGCATTATGCTTTGCAAGATATTTGTCCTTGTATTGCTTCTTTTTTCGACCGAAAATCGAACAGTTAACTGAAAAAATTAATAATAAGTAAATCCCATATGTAACTTATGCGATATTGATAGACTTTCATATTATACAGAAACCTGTAAATAAATAATAATTTTAAATAAAAAACTATTTTACTTTATATGCACTAGAGTATTAGCTTTTGAAACAATGACAAATTGCAGCACTTATTACGCTGTTTTTAAAAATCCCTATGAAAATCGAATAAATAATTATAAGTTAAAAATAATTGTATAAGCGTACTTTTAAAAAAACTTATTTGAAATAAATTATATATCTGATTAAATTTTTATTATGCTTCAAGTCAAAAAAAGAATAACAAATTGTAATCCAGAGATCATAATGCGTTCAGTATGTAACTTATTTGTAGCATAACTGACAAACGAAAGTTACGTAATTTCTATTTTAAAAATAATTATGATGCATATTTCATTTGTTCGCTCAAAATATGTTGATGATTCATTAATAATGTAAAAAGCAAAAATAATTAATTGAATGCATTTTTAAGCATCTAGTTCCAGCAGGTCACAACGTGCTGTATATCGTATATACTTAGTATTATATATATATTTGAATTGAAATGACTGAATAAAATAAAACCAACGTTTACTCCGCAGTTGCATGCAAAATTCATGCTTTGACCAAAAAATAAAAAAATAAAAACTCGAAAATCAAATGTCTCGATATGGTTTATCAATAATTATAAACGTCAAATGTTGAATGAATAATGCCAATGGAATTGGAACGAAATTGAGATGAAATAAAGATTAAACGTGCTTGACTGGTTCGAAATATATTGGTTGCCTTAGGTGAAAAAACAAATTAAGTTTAACAACATTCATTAAAGTAATGGTTCTATGTGCCCGTAAAAGCATCGAAAATTAATAGCAGTTACTTGAGATACTCTAATAGATAGGTGCGCATGTAGATGATTTAAAAATATTAACAGTAAACTAGAGACTTTGATAAGTTTTCTAAAAAAACTCTCAGAATTATCAATACTCGGCGCAATCCAGTGGATTATTTTATAGCCAAAGAGTTTTGTCAAATGAAAATTATTTTTAATTATATTCATCGTAACGTATCTATAAATAATAAATATTTATATGCGTATGCATTTTTAGAAAGAGATAGGTTTAAATTTCAATTTATATAATATCTTTCATGCTGAATAATCTACGTGGATTGAAAATGATTGATCTACATGAGAAATCGTAAAAAATTGTCTACAGCTGCAGGCAGAGAAACGTCGTACCTGTCGAGCCGTCACATCCTTCGGCATGAGACGTACAGCCTCCCTCTCCATCAGCGTCTAAAGCCCCGACATACATAACATACAATAATATCACGTAACAAGAATTTACCATTTTACAATCAAATCGGAATAGACACATCCTCGTTTCGATAACTTTTCGTTTTACTTTCCCGAACTAATAATTAATTTTACGTAATCTGAATGGATTAGTCCCGCAGTTATTTATTATGACTGACAGAAATAAACAATATCTATAGTCAAGGTAAAGGATGACATTTTCAGTATAGCGGATGAATAGTCTATAAGTTCAATTGAGAGTCGCAGCCTAGTCTATGAATTTATTTGTCTCACTATGGTCGGAAATTTGATAAATAAAATGAGGAGGAACAAAGTTTCAACACAGATTTATCATTCATTTCGGATTTAATAAATAGTGTTCATGCTTTGTAAAAAAGAAATTAGACTTTTTGTAATAACAAACACTGAGAACATGTTGGATAACTGATGACGATAAATATTTATGTACACAAATGAAAGTGAGCACATTTATATTTTCAGCGTGCCACAAAATAATTTTTTTTTTCACGAATCCGAATTCTTAAAACTAATCATTATTATCAATTTTATCGACGATCTGCTGGAACGGTTTCAAGTAGTCTTTACGACCGAAATGAACGAGGAAAATTTTTCTGAAATTTCTAGTTGAAATTAATCAAAATTACCTTGCTCTTGTTTATTTTTTTCCATTGCCATGCAGGCGATTCTCCATTCTTGTAGTTCTGGAGAAGGTATGAGCCCAGCCGATCCGCCAGCCTGATCCTTGCGTGCCTGCCACCAGTGATGATCGTCCTTACTAATGATTTGTAAAATATCACCAATTCTAAACGATATACCAGCTTGCGCACACGGTATCAGATCGTCCTCTAATGGATCGTAATCAAACTGCGCTCGAACGAAAATCTAAAACAAGGAAAATTTTCGTTATTTGTGTTCGAGATAATTTTCAATAGGCAGATTTTGTTTGCTTAGTGCTACATACATTTTTAATTTAAAATATTTCTGTTAACGAATAAATAAAGCTGATCAATTATATTTCGGATTATTTTCGAAAGAGTAAAACAAAAATCGCACCGAGCTCACTTCAATAATTATAGATGCAAACAATTTTAAATATACAGTTAAGTAAAAAATGATACAATTCTTCGAATTTATTCTTGAGAACGGTATAATTTTCCACAAAATACAATATTAAGTATCAGATGTTGTTTTCGTGGCACAATATTGCTTAAAACCATGAAAAAAGTTCCGTCTGATTATTTACAAGTAGACGCATGCTACGAGTGACTTAAACAATAAACAAAATATAATATACAATTTTTTGCGTGTAAAACCAAATTATAGAATAATCACTAAATAAATCATGATAACGTGAGGAAAATGCGCAGGAGTTATTATATATTAGGCATGATGCATGAATGCGAGCGTCATAGTGTGACTTTAGAATGAAAAACGCAACCTATACGTGTGATACATAGTGAATGATGCTGATTTAAAAAAAACGAAAGTTTCTTTCATAATGCCTAACTGGTCGATAATGTGTGATAAAAGATAACATAATTTGACATAAACAAATAGACAAAACGCATAGCTTTCTAACTATTAGCAGTCCAATCACACCAGATCAAGTGGTGGTACTTACTAATACTGGCAGAGGCCTAATCCTGAACAACTAGAATGTCGAAGAAACAGAAAAAAGAGGCAATTAATATTGTTTTTTTCAGTTTTCATGAAAATTCAACAATGAAAGAAAATTAAACCATAAAAACATACTTTTTCTAATATCTTATTTTAGCCTTTTTAATTTTTAATCTTTACAACTTTTTTTCTTATTAATTTTTTATCAATTCAAAAAAATTATTACGCTTCCCGAGAAGCTTGCCAGGGTAATCAAGCCATTGCACTATAGCTTATTCGTTAGATCGAGCTTTCAATTAAGCTTGCCAATTATATAATGCATTAACGATCGTAATAGTGTGCAACGTTAGAGAAATTGCAAGTGATTGAAATTTACAAATTAGTTGTACTATACTACCTTAGACTACATTAAAAAGGTACTTTTCTTTTGTTACAATTATATCACAGATTAATTACAAAGCAAAGTTTAACGTCGAAGTCGACATAATCTTAAGATTTTTTTTTAAATTTACAAATTTAGTAATATTTACAAAAAAATTTTACAATCAACGTGCACCGAAAAATTTTAAAAAGATCTACAAAAAATTTAAAATCGGGGAAAGTTTTTCGAAATATAAAGTTTCCGTATTAACAAAATAAATCATCTCATTTCTTTCATGAATCATTTCGACAAAAGTACAAACAAAACTTCGTATATCGGAAACTCCAAATTTCATAAAGACATTGGATTACACATTAACATTAGATAAATCCGAAGGCAAAAAGCGTCAAGATTAGTTGATCATAAAGTTATCTACTGTAACAAATGTTAGTAAGGGGTTTAAGGAACGGTGAATGATTCTCATTTTTTTTCCTTTCGAAGCTAAGTGAAGTATAGTAATTGTCAACTCGACTGGTGGACTGACTGCTGGCTATTGTCGCACGTCCTGTTGCATTATTTGTCATGCGGACGAAACGTGTGCTTTGATCAAAGTTTCCGAGATACGCTGCTTCACTTGCCTCTTGATTTTACACATATTCATATGAGATATTATACATGGAATAAGCACATATCGTCACGACGACTCTTTTACAACAGCCGTGAACATCGCGATGATTGTGCGATGAATTTCTTTTTGATTTCATGATGATATTGAAAAATTAAATTATGAATAATAAACGCAAACATAACATTACCCAATCATTCCCGGCTTTCTGCAACAATACGATTGAGAGAGATAGAGAAACCTTAATGTAATGAAGGGAAGGGATTATAGGTGAAGAAACATGGGTAGTAATCGGATTATTATTAAGGATCCATTTATTGCATGTATGCCCAAATGAATCGTAGTATATATACATGAACCATTTTTATAATTAACAATCTGAATAATAAAATTTCTTTTATTAAAAATGTTTTAAAAATCATTTTTATCAAGAAAAAATATCAAAGGTGTATTAATATTTGAAATCAAATATACATGTACTTGGAAGCTGCATAAACGAAAGAAAAAACAAATGTTGATTTATCGTATTCTTTAACATGGGCGTAAAAAAGAAAAACACGGAGGAAAATGTATGATACAATTAAATAGCAGTCGTGTGACAAAAAAAGGGTAATTGGAGTCCATACGATATTTTACAGCATCAATGCTTTATTTTCTTTTTGTACAATGCATAATTGTCAATAATTCACACGCGGTCATGTGATATTACACGAGATAGTTATGATTGGGAAGTGAAATCTCGTATGTCTTTTTTATTATATTGATTTTTATGAGTCATAATTGTATATAAATCTATCTATATGACAAAACGACTATTTTAACGATACAAATGTCAATATTCAAAACTCTTTGAATATGAACCAAATTATCGTTATTATAATGATCAATAGTATGTCAGCTAAAAGTGAGAAATTGTTTCACTAAATTCCTAGGCCCTTACAAACATCGTACAGAGAAAACTGTTACGACCATATTATTCCCAGTCGCAATTTTAATGTTTGCATGAATGAAAAAGATTTTCAAATATGAATCATTTCGAAAATTAGAAAAAAAAAGAGTTTTCAAACAAACATATGGTACAATGTACTTAGAATTAACATAATTTACAACAATTTTATATAAAATTTGTTGACTGATTATGTAATTTTAATCAAACAACAATATTTTTTGAATTTTACATATTTTTATGTAACATTCCCTAACCAAGTAAATAAAAATATATCACAACATACATTCATAAATAGTCTTGAAATATCATTTTGACAGAATAATAATCATCAAGCTTTGTCTATAATCTTTCGCCTTATATGACGTGACAAGGATTAAGTGGCTCAAGTTATCAAGGATTCAGCAAAATAAAAAGAATCGGAAAATGACTGTTTTACCTTAAAAAGTATAATTGCATGCATGGAGCTGCATTTAAATATTTCACTTTAAATTTATATAGACCTATTTCTACCCTGTTCCATAATATGTAATTATAATATAATATCTTTAGTATAATAACAGTTTCAATTCGTTTTTTTTTCATATTTATCAGGGAAACAATTTGCCATTCAAATGAAAGGTTTTAATAAATATATAAGTTTGAGGTGCATATTTTATAGTGAGATTTAAAATTGTAAACGATTATTTGTTTTCTTGAAAATTGATCATCGATTGGATCGATTAAACATTCAATTTGACCATATTGAATTAATAAGCCTCGGGATGAATCAATATCATTAAATTTTAAACTGTTCATTCAAAATATTTAATTTTTATAAAATCATATATTCTGCTTTTAATTGTGATTATTCGGCTCATAATAGTTTTCAACATAAGATACCTTATTTGGACTTACAGCATTCTTAATGTTACTGTAATCAATAAAATATCAGTCCAATATTCTCAGTAAAATCGCTTTTCATGACGTAGTATCACACAAAATCGAACAACCGTAAGCAATCTTGTATTAACGTTATAGTTGAATTAAATGTAAACTTTGATTAGACTATAAGTTTCTTTTAATTTAATAATAAAGAAGATAAACGGTCAAAAAGTTCGTCCTCTCAGATAATAAAAATTAAACGAGCAGAGGCGTGCATAATTGCATATACCTGATAAAAAAATTTAAACATGCAATTGCCTCCTATTCGTACATAATAGAAGCAATGAAATGGATAGGTTTTTTATCAATATAACATATCCTATTTATAACTATAGTAATATTATTTCATGAAGATGATGAAAAACGAAACGAAGATGTTTAGGTAAGAGGAGAGAAGTTATGTAAAATTTGATTCTTGACTAAAAATTAAAATTAAAATTAAAGAATAAAACAAAAAGATTTTAAATAGTAAATAGAAAACATACTGATAATGTATGAGAATAAATAATCAATGAATTTTTCGTACATTGTTATCAAATGAATGGAAGATAACAATGAGAGTTGGTTCTTGCAACATCAAACGTAGATAAAACCAAACAAAAGTAATATAATAACAAGTTCCGTACACATCCTGCCGAAAAACCCCGATTGTTGATTTTATATATCAGTTAAAAGATGTGCTCTTCTTTTATTCGCAATGAATAACTTTCAAAATTACATTTGAAATGTTTACACGTAAAACATAAATGATTTATCAAGCAATTTGGTTTTCACAATAATTCGTTAAAACAAACGCGTTGCATAACCGACTTATCCAATTTAACTTTTAGATTTTCGCGAGCGAAGCGCAGCTAGTGGATTTAATCGCCGTCTAGGAGTATTCTCACTCGACGAAGCATTAGAATTTTTATTTTTCGACGGTTTTTGAGATTTTGGAACTTTGAATTCTTTCGAAGTTTGCGTCTTAACCGATTTAGAATTACTAGCAGCCGCATGAGAAACTTGTTTGGAAGAAGATGTAGAGGTAGAAGTTGTAGTGGTAGTAAGATTATTATGTGATTGGGAGTAGGCTTGGTTATTGGGGCTTACTTGTACCTCGCATGGAGGTGGCGCGCTCCTATAAGATGGAACTATCTTGAATGTCACTGATCCACGAGCTTCTCGCTGTAACAGAAAAACATCAACGTCCCAAGTTGCATTGAATCGAATCAACATAGAGCTGGACTCAACTGTGCAGCAGTCTTATACTCACAAGTATTTTTTGTAAGGCATTGACTGACTGGTTAGCTACTGCGATTCCATTAATTTCTCTGATTTCATCGCCAACGTGCAAAGTAGCTTGCCTGTGGATCATTCCGCCGTGCATTATTCTCGCTACGATACATTTTCCATCTTCATTCATTTTCAACGTTATCCCCTGCAAATTCAATTTACTCAATGTATTAATGCATAATACAAGCTATGAATAATGAGCTATATAATAGCGATCGATTAGCCACAGAGATTTGTGCACTTATACTCAAATCCACTGCAAATTAAATCAACTAACTATAAGCAAATTATTAAGATCAATTCTACACGTACCATAGGTTCGTCCGTATTTTTTTGGAATTGCACGAGCCTAACTCTGGTAACGTTTTCAAGTTCAAGATCGCCATTCTGGTCTTCAAGATCATCACCTCCATTAAGAAAAGGTAAAATCGGTGGTGGCGTGGCTCGCTTTGCATCTTCACCATATACTTCTTGGCCTGTTACGTCTTGCGCTTGTAACAGAGCCTGAAATTTTGAAGAAAAAAAATTATATTATTTATAATATTAATACATTCAATTATAAATTTAAAATATCAGCTAAATTTATTTTTTATCGCTTCATGAATAATGTATTTAGTTATAGGTTTATGTGAGCAAACAAATCGAATATGCCTTTGCGTTAATTCCATTCTACCCTGCTTGCAAAACTTGAGTACCACTTGATTCATATGGAAGAGGTTTCAACTTTTCGCCGAAGAGCATTACTTTAGTTACAGATAAGGACTATAACCTTGACACAAATGCTAATTTTTTTAAAAATGGATCACATTTTGTTTTTTGAGATAGTTTAATAGTTTCATTTTTCAATAATTACGGATATTAATTAGTTACCGTTGAACTTTATGTCTAATGTGTAAATAATTCTATTGTACCCGTCAACTTGTCCTTAGTTAATATTTCTAATGAAATAATGACTTTGAAGTTAACCAGGTAAAATACTTCTTAATTTGTTTTGCAGCAAAAAATGCGATGCAGAACGTATAACAATACGGATGATCAAAAGTCTATACCTAGCTCAATCTAATTACATTTAGTAACTTTAAAGTTAATTTTTAAAATTTTAAATATTTCAAAACTTACGTAAAAAATCATCTTGAAAAATTTGCAGGAAGTTGCATAATTTAATTTTTAAATAAAGTATAATCATTGCTACCGATGAAAAAAATGTACCGGGTAGTTAGTAATCATTGAAAAAAGGAGGGCAATCTTTTGAATCGCATCGCTGAAGTAATAAAGTAAATTTAATTTTATAGAACAGTTATTATATAAACGAGCTGTACATTACAGTACATCATCTGTAACGACGACGCGTACTTATAGACAAAACTAATTAGCACTGCACTCACGAAAGGCTGGAAGAAGACTGCCTGCTGAAAAAAACGAGTGCGAGACTCTCTACGAGCTCCCTCTACTGTCTTCTCTAATATCATATTTCAGGCGTGTTTGAGGAAAGATAAATGCATTAGAAACAGCTTGAATACGTTAAGCATGACTTTTTATTTTTGCAAAACTCAAAAATAAAATCTTTTGGTATTTATTATTAATCTTTAGCTCTTGGAAGTCAACCACAGTATATTTAAAAACAACGAGTGAACGAGTAAGCTGCTCTAAAAAAAATTCAGATACGATTCCATGCTAATGAAAGGTAAGCGCTACTTGCATTTTTGCAAAAATACTGATTTTTCAATGCGATTTTTTCACTGAATAACCATGTGGATACAGAGAAGGTATGTTGAATAGAATCCAATTGAATATTGAATGCAAAATTGAGCACGATATTTGTAAAAAAACGAAAAAGTACTAAATAATAGGCAACGCAAGAATTAGTTCAAGAGATTTAGTCATAAAAAATAGGCCAGTGGTGAAAATTGAATACATTAGTGAGCTATACAAAATGCGTGGTTGTATTTTGAACAAAATAATAACGATATTTTATTTCAAAGTTGTAAAAATTAATTTTAGAAAATTCTATATGTGCTTTGACGTGAAAAAATGAAAATTTCTCTTTTGTATGTTGTTCATACAGTTAATATATGTGCATGCAAACAAGATCTACACGTTTGTTTTCTTTCTAGAAAGGTGTTGAATAAAAAATTTAAATGAAGGATCGTAAGTTTAAATTATTCTTTGCTTCATGAACGTATTCAGCTATTGTTTGGCTTTCTAAAGAAAGACATGAAACTGTGAAAAAACTACCTAATTAGAACACGATGCCGGTTTGAGCAATCTCGTCTAGAATTTACCCGGATGTTCCATGACCTCAAGTTTCTATCCTGTCAATTACATTTTGATGCAGTTTTGACGTTTCAATAAAAAAGCGAAAGATATAGATTTGTAAACATTAAATCACGAGATTATATAAAATTATTAAGAATATTAATTATGACTAGAGACATTTTTTCTAAAGTATCTCGCAAAATTCACAGACAAGTTTAGCAATTAGTCCTCAGGATATAGCTTACCTATACAGCGGCAAACACAGCTCAAGAACAGTGAAACCTACTTAGAGCTGCCTTTGGGACTGATACAAACGATACCCCAGAGGTAGTGTTTAAGAAAGTACTAAAACTTTTCACGAATCTTGGTAACTTTATTTCGTCACGAACACCTTTATTAATAAATGAACCTGCATAGTATGTGCGAAAGCTTTGGAATGATGTATATCCCCGAATCGCGTGAAATACATGTTATTTCGTCGACATCTTTTGAAAAATATATATATATATATATAAATATAACATGGCAATGTAATAATGACAAAAAAAAATAAAAAATTCAACGCAAACGTGAAAGGCAAATAAAAGTTGGGACTTTGAAGATAAATAAGATTTTTCACCGAGACACAAAAGAACTGTCTTTTATAAGTATTAAACTTCCGTAAATGTAAATATAATATTAAATTGTATTTTTAAAAAGTGTGTTATAAAACGCGTAAATTTTTCAATGCGCATTGTGCTTATCACACAGACGCGCAGTTATTGAATCTTTTGGTTTTCATGTCATTTTGAAAATTCGTAAAGTAAAAACTCAATGCTCCTCGTGACTTTGTCACGTACACCAAAGACGAAGTGGATGCCTCGAAGTAGGTCGGTTGCTGCGAAAAGGACAAATAAGTTGAAGTTATAGAGGTGCAGAAGAGAGAAAAAGAAGTACTGCCATAACACTTTCAGCCAGCAATATTTACAGCATTTATATCGGGACACGTCAAGAAGTTCTTTTTTTTCTTTTTTTTTTTCAATTACATCTATTCGACCAATGAAATCGAGCAACAACAATTGCGCAACTTTCAAAATAATTAAAACAATTGTTTACGTTTACAATAATTTTTCACGTTCAACTCATTTTTTACGCTTAAATTTTATACTCTTATGGTGATATATTTACACTCATTATTTTTTCATATAGAATATCTTGCATGAATCCGAACTTTTTCCCCTTTGTTTTTTGATTTACCCTTTTGTGGTTTCCATTTCAAAGTAACATGATTTTCAAGCATTGTAATCGTGCAAAAGAGCTATTTCACCGAAAATTCAATCAAGAAAAATGTTCCGAAAGTAAGCTTATTTGACGGTATTATAACATGCAGTACACCAGAGTTGTGAAAGTATTTTCTGAATTTCTATTTACTAAATTTTCCACAAAGGTTAATCTCTTTACAAGAAGTAAAATATCGTCTGTGCAATATCGACCTGAATGCGCGAGCTTGCAAGTTCATTGAATTTTCACAGCAATACAAATAACGATTCGCAAAATTATATTCCGGAGAAATATTTATTTTTTATTTTTAACGTTTTGTTAAGATATTTCAAGTATCGTTTAGTAGGTCACTCAATAAGTCGCTATATGGTGTTTGGCTGCATTCCAGTCTTGCGCTGCGCACACCGAAAAGGAAAATCGCGAGAAAGCGTGTCATGCGTCGCTTACAGTATTAGCTGATATTGTAAACTCTGGCTGCTTTTCACGCGGTGTATTCGATGAAAAAAAAACGTAACGTTATTCGACACCAGGCGTTATTCTTTTGTTCCAATCAAGCATGTCAGAGTGCAATTTAAAAAGTCCCAGACTGAATATACGGTGCCGATACGTACAGTTTTCATTTTTACAAAATTAGAAGATGAAATGGTCTTTGGTATCTGCTGAGGACGTCCACTCGAGCGGTGCAAAATGCAGCTCGATTTTTCTAAATGGCATATATCATATTGGATGTTACAATTCGAAACGCACGAGCGTGGAATACAGTAGTATTGGCATTTCTACGTATCCACGCGGGGGCCATTTATCCTCGGAAGTGAGAGGGACAATCCGACTTTCCATATGACAGGATAATTTTTAGTTTGAATATTCGATGAATACGCGAGAGGTTAAAGAATGCCAATGCGAGCGGAGATAATGAGAAACCGACGCAGGTCAGAGAATGAGTCGAAAAAAAGCTCGCAGGGGTTTGAGTACTTTGGCCAAACGCACAGGCGGGCCGTAAGTCGAGAGGATCATAGATGAGAGAGCGCATCGTGCTCATAACAGGCCCCTTGAGTGCGTAAAGGCTCGCTGAATATTTTTCTCTCTCTTCGTTTTTACCTTCTTTCAATTGCTCTGCTCGACATTTATTCACAGCTCGTCTGTCTTTCATTTATGCGCTGAGGTAGACGGCAAACTCAGAATGAAGCAGACCAAGAGATATCTAACCTTCGAGCTATTTCACATATATGCGAGATAGGTATATGGAGAGAGAGAGTGAGAGAGAGAGAAAACACCTAAGCCAAGAAGAGTTTTATAACGTACAAAAGGGAGCTGGCGAGCCAGCGAGCTTGACGCTTTCGTAGGGCGTACGTGAGCGGGAAAAACGAGAGAGAGTCGACCGGTGTGTGCACTGCTCGATGTTGCAACTAAGTAGCAGACGTGCACACATCACCGAAGGAAAAAAAGAAGAGTCGTGAAAAAAAATGGAAAATAATGGTATATATAGCGCGTGTGACAGCTCATACATGACGTTGACTACTGCGTATTACCACTGGATTGACCGTAAGAGTATGAAAAAATACGGCACGTGCATAGTTTTATATCTCTGCCACGACGTCGTGAACTTTATGTGTACACCGCAAGCTTCGCAAAGATGAAATATGCCGGTGAAGAGAGACGTGCGCGTGCACGAGTATAAATATTTTTCATTTTTTCTGATTACACGCGAAGAGCTCTGGATAGGTTTATTTTTTTTTCGTCGCCGTGAAACGTCACGAGGTATATGGCAATTCGGCGGATCCATTTTACCGCCTATCGGCGGTACATGGCTAAAACCGAATAAGACTCAATCATAAGATGGATTGGCTTGCGAACGTATACGGCGCTTATTCTTCGCTTACACAGCCACTTTAAATGGCGCACGAAATGTACGCCTACGAAGATATATATTGCTATTCTTTCGATTGCTACGTAGATATATTAACGAAAGCTCAATTGGGTTAAGTTCG